CTGGGCACCCCTTAGCCCAGTGAAGTCAACACAAAATGAACCCTCGCAGATGAAGTCACACTGTCACAGCCTCCCTCTGGAATGACTTTCTTCTCTCCACTTCCTGCCATGCCAAGCTTTCTAGACTTTAACCTTTGGACTCCTTCCCATAGCACTTCTAAGGCCAGCCCACCTCTCCCCCTTCCACATCCTCCCCTAGTTAAATGGGAGCTTCTCCCTTCTGTAAGGAGCCATCAGCTACGCTGGGTTAGGACCTTGCATCACCCATCCATCCCCAGGGACGCCACCCCTCCTGCAGGTCTCGGAAGGCAGGGACTCCCCAAGAGGCAGGACACACCCAATCAGGAGGAAGGGAAGAGCAGCAGCTTTTTTTTTTTTTTTAAAGGTTTTATTTATTTATTTGACAGACTGAGATGACAAGTAGGCAGAGAGGCAGGCAGAGAGAGAGGAAGGGAAGCAGGCTCCCTCCTGAGCAGAGAGCCCGATGCGGGGCTCGATCCCAGGACCCTGAGATCATGACCTGAGCTGAAGGCAGAGGCTTAACCCACTGAGCCACCCAGGCACCTGAGTAGCGGCTTTTAAAGAAATCCAAGTGGCTTCTCTGGGAGCCAGGGCTAAACTCAGATTTTAAGAGGACATGAATGAGAAAAACTGAAGGACAAATGGATGGTTTTGGAAATGTCTACTAATGAAACAGATATGTGTAAGACAGCACGGAGACTAGAACATGGTTAAGTATCTAAGAAACATTAGGTGGTGGTATTATTATTATTGAACACCAGAAGAAGGAGGGCTTGGGATAAAAATGTACATGTAACAAAGGCAGCCTTTAAAAGCTAAATTTGTTTCCAGGCAAAAATAACAGGAAAGAGATGTTCAAGGCAGATGACATGATATTAATAAAAGACATTAATAAAAGACTGGGGGAAAGCTAAAGCCTCCTTTCTCCCTAGTTCCTTCCATTTCCTGTGTTAAAGAGAATAATCGTCAAGCTGGAAAGGTGAACAAACATGATTATAGGGTAATTGGGACCCACGACAGATGATGTAGTGCTCAAGGACAGCCCCGCTGCTGTACTTGGTCTCAGCTCTCCTGATTCCAGCTAAATAGATCCAAGAACTTTCTGGTGTGACTGCAGAACCCCTACTGGTAAATACTGAGAAATCAGGAAGCTACGAGGAGTGGGGGGAAACTGGAGGCAGGGACATATTGCCCCGATTTGAGAAAGAAAGTGAATTCCAGAAATTAGATTGGCATGTCTGATGTTGACCTGTGCTCAGCTAGGTCTTGAGACCTTACAGAACATGGCAGATGTTACTAACGGCCAAAGTACTCACTGGGTAAATGAATCTCACTTCCCATGTTGATCAATTGGTATAGGGAGACACTGCTATGCATCCTGTATACTGATTTTTGGCCAAGTACCTGACAGAATCTTTGAGGATTCCTGGTGAGCAAGATGAAGAAATAAGGCTAGATTTAAAATGCAAGGCTCAGAGAGGTTGGTATTTTTATCCATGTCACACAGCTAACCTTTAGCAAAGCGAGGATTTGAACTCGAGAGAACTTAACTCCAGGATTCAAACTGTTAGCCACATCACTGGGCTGGCATCTACCGAGTGTCAGCCTTACCACTGGCCCCCACATTTTAAGAAGGATGCTGACAGATCAAAGCAAGTGAGGCAGAGAGCTACCTGGAGAATGTGAGAGGCTAGAAACTTTACATACAAAAAATCTTTGGGGTTCCCATATGAGAGAAAAATTACTTGGGGGGAAGGCCATGACTGGCCTAAAGCACGTGAAGAAATGTTACGTGACAAAGCAATGAGGTTTATTCTGCACAGAAGGATAAGGGCAAGAGGGGCGCCTGGGTGGCTCAGTGGGTTGAATCTGTCTTTGGTTCAGGTCATGATCCCAGGGTCCTGGGATCAAACCCTGGGCTCCTGATGAGCGGAGAGCCTGCTTCTCCCTCTTCCTCTGCCCCTCCCACCCCCCTACTTGTGCTCGCTCTTGAAAAAATAAAATCTTAAAAAAAAAAAAGGCATAAGAGCAAGTGATAAGATTTCAGCTTTCTGAGGATGAGGGATTTATCCCAAACTAGAATGCGCTGCTTTATGAGGACTGAGACCCCTGGCACTGAAAGCATTCAAGCAGAGGCTGGACAGCCAGTAGCCAGGCTTTCTACTCTTGAGATGGTACTCTCCCCCTCTTCTCAAAGTGCTTACAGCACTGCTGAGACCGACTTACTCGACACCCTCGTTGCTATTGGTTTCATGTTCATAAATTTCACACCGCTTTTTGGAGGTGTAATTTACCTACCATACAATTCACCCATTATAAGAAAGCAATTTAAAGATTCTTAGTAAATGTGTACAGTTGTGCAGCCATCAATGCAATCCCGTTTTAGAACATTGATTATAGTTCTTGCTTCCCAAAGAACATTATAAGCATCCAAGTTAGGTCCAGGTCTCTCTGGCGGCCGTCTCCACTGGCCCAATATTGCATCTCACACCCCCATGCCCTGGCTGTTCCCCTCCATCCAGCACCCATTCCCTTTCCTGTCAGCTGACACAGTTCTGCACCTGCTGCTCTGTCCCCAGGCTCTAGGCTGTACCCAGTTTGTCCCCTTCTCTCCCGGCGTGCCAAGCTCTGGAGGCCAGTGTGTGGTCTTCAGCAGAGTCTGAGGTGGTGGCGTATTCTGGAAGGATATGGACCCCGGTGCCCTGGATGACATTTGAATCATGGCCATGTGGCCTCCAGAAAGTCACTTTATCTTCCGGAAACTTAGTTTCCCTGTTTGCAAAGTAGATGCAATAAGCGTGCCTTGCGGGGTGTTCCGCGGGAGAGGGAAGAGCAGAGATGACGTATGTAAAGTGCCTAGAAGCCTAGAACGGCATCCAGCATGCTCGGTAGATGGCGGTGACCACTGCTTTACAATTAGCATCACTGCTGATACTGCTGCCACCTTTATTATCATTGGCACTCTGGAGTCCTCTGCACTGGGTGGCCATTTGCCTTTCTCTTCCAGGCATATCCCTGGCCGCGGTCCCTGTTTTCTAGGTTACTCCGGGCGTCCAGGCAAGAAGATGGATTCCGTGGCACTCGACACCCCCAAGGCCCACCCCTGCTGGGGCTGCGGGTAGGTCAGTGGGACGAAGCAGCAGCACCACCTAGTGGCGATGAGCCGCAGCGAGTTATTTATGGGCCAGATGAGTAGCTGATCTGACTGCACAATTTTGGAGCCTTGAAGTTCAGTGGTCCATCCACTGCTCACGTGTGAGGCTTGTGTGTGCCCGGGACCCTCCTTCCCGTGCCATGCGTTAGAGTTAGGGAGAGACCACAGGGTGTGACGAAGTGGTTTAAAAAGCATCTCTGCCTAGTCTAGAGACAGGAAGACCAGCGACTAATGGTTACCTAGGACCGGGGCTGGGGGTGTGTGAATGCTGAATGGTACGAGGTTTCTTTGCAGGATAACGAACAAAATTGCAATAACGGTCACACAGATCTGAGTATACTAAAAACCACTGATTGTAACCTTTTAAAGGGGTGAACTGTGTAGTATCTGAATTAGATCTCAATAAAGCTACCCAAAAAGGTGAGGTGGTATCCAGATTTTTTTTCATCTTCACATCATCAGATTTTCTGTGTACTGTTTGACAACCTCCATCAGACCCGTGGGCAATGGACTCAGGTCACTTCTAGGTGTCCTACCTCACTTCCCGTGAAACTACTTCACCCCTTCTGTGCAGAGCCACTCACATGGAAATATCCCCAGCTCTGTTAAGACGTTATTTAAAATAGATCTAACTACAGGACCCACAGTCGAGAGAGCTCATAGAACCCCCACATTACCCCCCCATTGTTGGCATTTGCACAGAGCTATCTCCCAGGTCAGCCTGGGAACTTCCATTTGCAGGGGAGGAAATGGAGGGTCAGAGGTTGACTAGTCCAACAGAATCCAGCTAGTGAATGGGCGGAGCTTTCAATTCAGCTTCAGACTTTGATTCCAGTTCAGAGCTCTTGCCATTCCACGTAATTGTTAGTAGCACCCCATTCCCTCTCGATAATAAACATTGTGCCCTCTAGGGGGCAGTCTTTCCCCTTGGGTTCTGCCTCATCTGTACCTCAAACTGTGGTTTGAGGACAGAACTGTGGTTAGGCCAAGAGCGGCTCGGTGCTTCCTAAACTTCCCACTGGCTCCCCAGGCCCCTCACCAAAAAGAAACAAAAAGTAGATTAGTGGTTGCTGGGGGTGCCTAGGAAGAGGGAGGAATGGGGAATGGATGCTAACGGATCCAGAATTTCTTTTGGGGTTGTCGAAAATTAGCAGTTGTGGTTGCATATGCTAAAACCACAGAAAGAAAAAGAAAAAAGGAAGAGGAATAGGTGAGGATAGGACACAGCAGTGTGCTTGTTGGACAAGCATCCGGAGTGATCTCACTAGCACTCTCCATGGTTAGAAAAGGACAGAGCATTCAGCAGGGTTAGAAGGTGACTAGAGCAAGAGAGATTAAATGCAACCTCCCACCATCCCACTTCCTTTCTCCAATAAAGAATGTTTATCAGTTTGCATCCACGCGGCCATTCACACTTAGACAGCAAGATACTCCCAGGGAAAGAGTAAGATGTGCAAAGGTCAAAGACACTGAACCCGCACAACATCATTAGGCAGGTATTATTATCCCCATTTAACAGTGGAGTGAACTGAGGCTCAGAGATACAGAAGCCAAGAATAAATGGCCTGAGGCCAGCAGCTAATTAGGGACATAGCTGGGATGTCAACATGGCATTCAGGGACCCAAATCCAAAGTTCAAAGTTACTACACTGAGGTGGCCCCACTTACCCTCAACCCAGCAGCTCCAAATCATAGAAGACGACCACAGTTGAAAGCACCAGGAAAACTGTCAGTGAGGATTATTGCTAAAGGCATAGAGTAAGTCCGCCAAGACGGAGGGGAAAAGGGATTTTAAAGTCTTTCAAAATATTCAGAAGCAGATGGCTGTCCTCTCCTCTTTCCAAAGAAAGTTCTTTATTGTCCAGCCAATCAACAATTATTTAATGAGGCCCAGCACCATACTAAGCATAAATACAAAAATGTAAGACACAGTCCCTGCCAACATGAGGCGTACAACCTTACTATTTCTCAGGAATTACTCCAGGGTTAAAACAAAATCTGGACTTGGATGCCTGTATTGCAAGGAACATTCTTTCAAGTCAATATTTCAAAGAAAAACATCACACCCCACATGTATCATGGTATGAAACTTCTTCCTAGTAATATCAACTTCATTATCAACAAACAGGGTTTACTTTTGTTAAAATTCACCTTGCATTCCCCTCCTAGATCTGTTAATTTGAATAAACATTTTTCTCAAAAAAGGAATTTTCAAAGGTGAAGTAGGGGAAGTGCATAGGTACACATTTGGCCAAGAGCCATCTGCGCAAACGAGCTCTACACTACCGCATGAGACCCAGCTCATCACCAGGCCGTTTCTATGAATGTTTTGAAGACAACATAAAGCACGTCTCCACACAGGACATTACTGCATCCAGAAGACGGAGTCAGCACCACGGACAGCGGTTGGGATTAGACATTTTTCATAGCAAAATTTAGCACCAACTCAGGGGCAGTAACAGGGGTTGCTGGGAATTTCGTCTCCAAAATGAACCTCTCAATCCTCTTTCACTCTCAGAACTCACAGGTGTGTGGTTCTGGGAACAGAAACTAAGCAACACCGCAAGCCGAACGGAGACAACTGAACTTGGTGACGATTCCATCCCAGGAGTGACCCTCCTGCTTCGAGCACAGAACATTCAGCACAGAGCAGAGAAGTGGGAGCAGCTGTCTCAGGAGCCTGAAACCTGAGATGGTGATACAAGGACACAAACACGACCCTCACCTCCCTTCCGCAACCCGGCCCTTCGCTCGACTGCGTGGCCCCTGTAAAGAGCCTCGGCCTCACACTGGGTTACTTACCCCAAATGGTCTCCATTTGGCAAACAAGAGGCAACAAGGGGAAGGAACTAGCATGAGGGAAGGACTGGATGATGTTCTAGTGTTACGGACTCTGGATACTCTAATGAAGAAGATCTCAAGTTCCTTTCAATAAAGTACATTAAACCAGGAAGAACATAACTTATGGGAAAATTTCAGAGCTGAATTTCAACCCTGTAGCAAGCAGGTGTCTTTTTTCTTGAGGACCGTTTGCTTCGAAAGTACTGAAAAGTGAGCTGCGAGCTCTGGCAGTGATGGGGAAGAATGACAGGCCCTTTCTCGTTTACAAAAGGCCACCGAAGTCTAACATGACTCTGGGCAGGCAGAGCCACCGGACCCAGGACGGCACAGCTCCACCTGGGCCCCATGCCAGCCCTCCTCCTCCTGCCCACCACGAGGGCCTCTCAGGCTGTCGTGTGCCAGGAAAGCCTCCGGACCCCTCCATCACCTGCTAAGTTGACCCTCGAAACTCCTGAAATGGAAGGTAGCGTTTAAAATGAAACACTGATTTTTCTTCAAATGTAAGCCTGGTTTTCTTGTAGCATGGCTAAGGCACAGTGTGAGAAAGCTGCTCCCACTCCCAGCCACACACCCATCCTCGGCTCCTCACACGCACACATGCACACAGAAGAGGCCAGCTGAGTTTGCCACGATGCACGGCGAACGGAGCGCTTCCGATCACTTCTGCGTTTTGAGCTGGTTGGAGAGCCAGTCCAGGCCTTCGTAAAGCCCATCTCCACTGGTGGCACAAGTGGCCTGAATGTACCAGTTTCTCTGGCGGAGGGAATGTAAGCCGAGCTTGTCTGTTATTTCTGCTGCATTCATCGCATTGGGAAGATCCTTGAGAAAGAAAATTCAGAAGTCAGTTTATAATGATTCTTTTTTATAATGAAATACGCTCTTCTCCCAAAACCTCAGTCACAGGGCGCCTGGGTGGCTCAGTGGGTTAAAGCCTCTGCCTTCAGCTCAGGTCATGATCCCAGGGTCCTGGAGATCGAGGCCCACATCCGGCTCTCTGCTCAGCAGGGAGCTTGCTTCCCCCTCTCTCTGCCTGTCTCTCTGCCTACTTGTGATCTCTCTCTCTCTCTCTCTCTCTCTGTCAAATAAATAAGTAAATAAAAATCTTTAAAAAAAAAAAAAAACCACCTCAGTCACAGTCTCAGCTCAGCAGATCCCCAATTTCTCTCGCTCTCTCTGACCTCTCAACTCCACTTCGGGAAACCCCATCAGAACGTGCAGGATCTGACCACTTCTCACCACGCCCACAGCTACCCACCCAAGCCTACCATCGCCACTTCTACCTCCGGGTACCGACATAACTTCCGAATTGGTCTCCTTGCTTCTGGGCTTGTTCCCCCTCGAGTCTATTCTCAACCCAGTGGTCAGTGAAAGTCAGAGCAAGTCATTCTTTCCAAGCCCTGAAGCGGATCCATCTCTCAGGGGGAAGAGCCGGAGTCCTCACCGTGGTCGGCAAGGCCTTTGGGACCCAAGCCCCCAGGACCCCTCCCTAATTTGCCTGCTTCATCTTATCAAACGCAGCACTCTCCACATGTGACTGTACTATAAAACTGACTTATTTGCTATGTTGATGACTTAGATTACCTGTGTCTAACTAGAACACAAGTTTAACAAGGGCAGGAATTTCTGTCTTGTCCTCTGATTTATTCCAAGTTCTAGAACTGTGCCTGGCACGTGCGTGGTAAGGCAGATCTAGCGATACTGATATGGAACGACACCACAACACGCTACGTGAGAAAGCAGGCGGATTCCCAGCACCTAAGTACGAATGCAATCACGCAGCTGCTTATACAGGCATGGAAAGCTGTATCTCTGAAAGAAGATGGAAGAAATTCAACAACATTATTTTACCCCGAAGACTGAGGCAAGAGTATTTCACTCGGTACTCTAAATTGCTGGCAGACTTATACTACAAGCATGTTCTGCTTTTATAATTAAAAAGAACAAGCGTCATTATCTTTTTGAAAGTCCATTAAGTTCACGAGTGAAATTCGGGAATGGCATAGAACCAAGCAGTAGTGTAAAGCCTAAGCAAAAGACAGATCAGCCACCGTTTAAAGTCATGTTTACAGTGGCACCTGGGTGCTTCAGTTGGTCCTGATCGGCTCAGGGTCATGAGCTCAAGCCCTGCACTGAGCTCATGCTGGGTGTGGAGCTACTTAAAAAAAAAAAATCTAGGGGCGCCTAGGTGGCTCAGTGGGTTAAGCCCCTGCCTTCGGCTCAAGTCATGTTCTCAGGGTCCTGGGATCGAGCCCCACATCAGGCTCCCTGTGCAGCGGGGAGCCCGCTTCCCCCTCTCTCTGCTTGCCTCTCTGCCTGCTTGTGATCTCTGTCAAATAAATAAATAAAATCTTAAAAAAAAAAAAAATCTAGGGGCGCCTGGGTGGCTCAGTGGGTTAAGCCTCTGCCTTCGGCTCAGGTCATGATCCCAGGGTCCGGGAATCGAGCCCCGCATCAGGCTCTCTGCTCAGCAGGGAGCCTGCTTCCCCATTCTCTCTCTGCCTGCCTCTCTGCCTACTTGTGAACTCTCTCTCTCTCTGTGTCAAATAAATAAATAAAATCTTAAACAAAAATAAAAACAAAAAATCTAAGGGACGCCTGGGTGGCTCAGTCGGTTAAGCATCTGCTTTCGGGTCAAGTCATGATCCCAAGGTCCTGGCATCAAGCCCTGCATCGGGCTCCCTGCTCGGCAGGGAGTCTGCTTCTCCCTCTGCCCCTTCCACTCTCTCTCTCTCTCTCTCTATCTCTGTCAAATAAAAAAAAAAAAAAAAAATCTAAAAAAACCCAACAACATAATAAAACATAATACAATATAAAACAAAACCATGTTTACAAAGACCCGAAGGGCAAGGGACGGGCAAGAGAAATGCCTTGGATAAATCCGAAGTGACAAAACACGAAGGACGCAGCCCCGTCAGATGAGCATGAGCTCAATCACAGAACGAATGTATTCGTGACGGAGAAAGTTGAAGGAAACATATCATGACCTGACTGAGGTCATCTCAGGCTGGTACATTCCATGACTCTACCTCATCCCACGATGCTACCTTCTTTCCAATCTTCGCTCCACTTTGAATCCCAAGGCGGAACAGCTCAACACTTGGCCCTCCTCCCACCCTTCCTTTACTACTCTCCACTACATTTACACGAAGCCCCTTCTTCCTCCTTGACAGACCCTATATGACACAACCATCTCCTCCCTCGCTGCCCCTGTCCCCTCCGTTCCAGCTGCACTGGCTGCCTTGCTATTCCTAGCCCCATGCAGCAACCTTCCCGCTGGCCTTCCAATCTGCTCAGATGTCGTCTTATCATGGAGGCATTCTGGCCCTTTCCCACAGCCAGCCTGCCCGCCTCCTCTGCTCACCTTCCTCTACCACACTTCCAGCAGACACACCACGTATTACTGACTGACTCTCCTACCACTAGAACGTAAACTCCATGAACACAGGGACTTTTGTCTGTCTTGCTGCTCACGGCTATGTCACCAAAACAATGTCTGTATCTTAGTAGATGCTCAATTCGTATCTGTTGAATCCATGAACAGAAGACATAAGCTAAAAAGGACGTCGGGGGAGGGGGGCCCTGACTGGCTTAGTTGGTAGAACATGTGATGAGTCTTGATCTTGGGGTTGAGAGTTCAAGCCCAACACTGGACAATGGGCCTAGAGCTACTTAAAAAAGAAAAAAAGAAAAAAGGAGGTGGAGGGAAAAGTTATGGTAGGGACTAGAGAGAGGGAGGCACACAGCTAATTTAAATATCTGTATTTTTAAGTGAACATCTAGCAGCAATTTTGGTCCCAGTAGCCAGAAAGCCAACAACATACCTGTTTATTTACAAACACCAGTAAGACTGCATCTCTGAGCTCATCTTCTGCTAACATTCTGGTTAGTTCCTCTCGGGCCTCATTGACTCGCTCTCTGTCATTACTGTCGACCACAAAAATCAGACCTGGAAAGAAATCACAAGCATGTTGGTGATCTGAACCTAGAAAGTGAGAACGTTTACATGTCCTTAGAGCTTCTCCCTACCTATGCATATGGTTTCACTGAAAGCACTCAGGGAGGGACATCTACTCTCCTGAGTTAGAGAGCCTGCCGAGTTAGAGAGCCTGTCGCACCTCACTGGTCCATCTTTTTGGAAGCAAACAGGCTTTCCCCAGGTTACCAGAAGAAAGAATATAGAGAAAAGATATAGTTCATGCTTAATCACTTCACTTCTACATCCTGTTTACATAACAAAGTCCCCATAAAACCCAGGGACATCAAAGTTCGCATAAGCACCCCTGGTGGCAACACTCTGCAGACACGTCACACATCAGGTAGCTGGAGGTCGTACGTCCTGACGGAAAGGACAATGTTCTGGGGACACCCGCATTTTCAGCAGGTGTCCGAATGGAGGGAGTCTTGTACCCCTAACCAGGGAAGTCTGGCCCAACTCCAGGAAGTTGGTGCCGAGAAATCTTCGCAGGATCCCATTCCAGACAGCATCAGAGAAATCCCAGGAAGCACAAGACGGTCGAAGAAAGATACCATCACACTGAGGCTATGCCAAGCTGGCTGAACCCTGCACACACCAGGTCATCACTGGCTGGGCCAACACGAGTTCCAGAGGATTCCCCAGGGGGAAAGCCAACATACACCCAAATACAGAACGGGGAAGACCCCTCTCAGCAGCAGTTTCTGTGGCAATAATGACAGTAAGAACTGGGTGGTTAGCTGAGGTAAGTCCTCTGGGAGACGAATACGGGAAGCGGCTGCCAGAACGAGTTTGCTCCTAAGCCGGATCGTGAGGATACGGCGGAGAAAAAGCCTTCTCCATCTCCCGTCAGTCAGAACATCCTGCAAACATTATTACCTGGTCGCTGCTGGACGCCACACTCTAAAACACGGGCAAACTGAAAGGACTCAAAAAATGCCTAGGAGGGGCGCCTGGGTGGCTCAGTGGGTTACAGCCTCTGCCTTCGGCTCAGGTCATGATCCCAGGGTCCTGGGATCTAGCCCCACATCAGGCTCTCTGCTCAGCAGGGAGCCTGCTTCCTCCTCTCTCTCTCTCTCTCTCTCTCTCTGCCTGGCTGTCTGCCTACTTGTGATCTGTCAAATAAATAAATACATAAAATCTTAAAAAAAAAAAAATTGCCTAGGATGGCAAAGGAATGAGATGCCACGCCAGACGAAAAAGAACGGATACACCGAGGTATTTTATCGTGAGAAAAGACTCACTGAAAGGACTGCCAGCTGTCTTTATGTATCTAAAGAGCTATGCCATAAAGAGAGGTTCAACTTGTTTTATATACAGCTCTCTTCGTACACTGACGATCAGTGGGTGCAAACTACAGGAAGTCGGCGGACAGAGAGTCAACAGAACTGAGGAGGCAATGAGCTCCCTCGGGAGGCAACCCCACCACTGGAGACACGCGGGCCCAGCTTCAGCCACTGTGTGTGGGGACACACAGAGGGACCTCCCTGGTAAGAGAAGTGTAGTGGGACAAGATGACCTCTTGGCTCCTTCGGACACTGGGATTTTACAGCTGTGTCTGGGATGGAAAATCAGCGCCTACCCTCCCCGGCCTTCCCTCCGGCCTTCCCAGCTCTGGAGAGGCCAAGTGCGGCAGACAGGTTCCAGGTGTTTGGGGACTGCATGTGAGACAAAGTCACGTCTGTTATATCACAACAAATTTCAAAAGTGCAGAACATTCAAAACCTCCCCCCAAAATGTGATAGTCTACCTGTAGTATAACCAGGACTCTGATCTTAATTAAGCAAACAAGGTTATCCAGAAATTCAGGGAGATCCTGGCAAAACTGACAAGGTGGGAGCAGATATATAATCCCTTTGCCAATCCTAATAAAAATAAAGGTTTATAAATATTAGGGCCCATTTCATACTGTTTTTAATGTAAATCCTTATGCGAGAAGCAAAAGAACCTAGCATCAGATTGACTTCACTTTTGAACTGGAAGAACCTAGAAAAGGTAAATTTGCATATGAATAGTGTGTTCAAATTTGTTTTAAATGGGAGGGGGTAATATATTTCCGGCTGCTTGCACATGCATAAAATATCTTTGGACCAATATACAAGGAGTACAAGCGCTTGTCTATGGGAGTGCGGAACTGGGTGGTTAAGGAAAAGGAATGAGACAATGACTTTTCTTTATATTCTTTTCTATCTTTTGGAATTTTGCACCATATAAATGTATTCCCATTTAACAAATTAAAATAACTGAACCTATAATCAAGGAGAAAAATCCTTCCACATGGGAACTAATGGACCATTTTATGCACACTGTACAACATAATCAACTAAGAAATCACACAAACAACTCAAATTTCAATCTCTACAAGTAAAGCCTAAGTGAACACACAGTTAAGTGTCTTATTGGAGAGCTAAAAGCTATCATTAAGTCTGTCATACTCAACATACTGATGAAAAAATTTCAAATGAAAAAAGACAGCATGACCTTTTAGGAGCCGGCAGGAGAAACAGGGGCAGCCTCCAAGGCTACTCCTGGCTGAGATGTCCGGACCCACCACAGACAGCGAATCCATTCTTCAAACCGTCCCCGTTTGCTGGTTTCACAAAGAGTCTAACTGACCCACCCCGGGGTCCTAGATCAAGCCAGGTGCCTGCCATCACCGCAAATTACTGAAGTTCCATAAAATCGGGCTTGTTATGAATAGAAGATTGAAAACAAAAAGGCATTCCAACTTGGTGACCGAATATGACACTACATGCAGCAAAAGGACTCCTGCCAGAGAATGAGCCTCTCACCATTTGGGCTCAGTGACGGTTAATTTTATGTGTCAATGTGACCAGGCCATGGGGTGCCCAGACGTTTGGTCAAACATTATTCTGGGTGTATCTGTGAGGATGTTACTGGCTGAGGTGAGTCACGTTTGAATCAGGAGACTGAGTAAAGCAGACTTCCCTTCCCAGCGTTGGGGCGGGGGGAGGGCGGAGGTGCTCTCCAATCCTTTGCAGGCCTTAAGAGAACACCATCCTGGAGCTGGTCTTCTGCCCTTGGACTAGACTTTCCACCTTTGGCTCTCCTGGTTCCCCTGCTTGCCGAATGCAGATACTGGGCCTGCTCAGGCTCTAGTAACCATGTGGGCCAATTCCTCTTAATAAATCTGAGACAGACAGACAGACAGACAGACACACACACACACACGTGTAACTCCATCCATCCTCTTGGTTCCGTTTCCTCTGGACAACCCAGTCTAATAAAGGCTCCTATCTGAGTGCCTACTACCTTCCAACCACAGAACGAAGCATTTTATAAAATCCATCTCATTTAAGCCAAATGATCCAACACAGCAGGTACTACCTCCATTTTATAGATAAGGAAACAGAGACAAAAAAAGACGAACTTTCCCAAGTTTTCATAGTAGAGCTGAGGTTTAAACCCACACTTTCTCATTTTATTAACTAATAAGGAATCGCAATCGTCTGGCCAAAATGGCACGTGCCAAGCCAAGTTACACGAACACTCCGGGTATCAACAGTACTGTGTGCAGGGGATTGAAACACAAAGACACACAAATCGGAGTTTTGGAAGTTGCTTGTGCTTGCTCTGACAAATAGAATCTTTTTAAAAAAATTTTTTAAAAGCCCGAAACCAGTGGTAAGGAAATAAGGCAATGATCTGGGATACGTGTGTCAATTCATGCACTTTTAGAATAGTGGGGCAACAGGCAGGGACGCCGGCCGCACAAGATGCTGGCATCTGGGGTTCCAACCTTGCCTGTTCATCTCTCTCTCACCAGCGGCATGACTTTTAGATATTCTCAATGAGTTTAAAGGAGTTTACTGAACTCAAATTCTCTAAAACCTGGTACTTCGTCTGAGGCACATACAACTTTCAATTAAGCAAAAGACAACTTCATCAGGAGAGCCATTTTTTAACTAGTCTGCATTAAGAGCAGTTTTCTATGTAGGGCATTAATGCCCAAGTACTTTTTCTAGGAAGGCAGGGACCATTTTCCAAAAAGAAACCTCCCCAGTAAGTTTAAGTGGGCTATCAGAGGAGAAAGAACAACTGACAATTCGTATAAAGTGGAGCACAAGGTTTTGCTTCAAGCATCCATCTTTAGACACATTTAATACAAATGGGTCCAAGGCTAGAGACTGGACAATCTTTACCTTGGGTGTTCTGGAAATAATGTCGCCACAAAGGTCTGATTTTGTCCTGGCCACCAACATCCCAGACCGTGAAGCTGATATTTTTATATTCTACCGTTTCCACATTGAAACCTAAATTGGGAAGAAGGAGAAAATTTTTAATGAAGACTTTAAAACAATTCAAATGAATTTCAGCTGACATTTGGACAGTATTTTTTAATTTACAAAGCAACTTGCTAGTCAAAATCTTTAGCTCACAGGGGGAGCCTGGCTGGCTTAGCCAGTAGAGCATACAACTCTTGACCTCGGGGTCTTGAGTTCAACCCCTACATTACTCTTAATTCAAAACAAAACAAACAAAAAAGATATACAGCTTACAAAACAGGGTGTATTAGTCTTCCATTCACCGTGACAGGTGTCTCAAACCTTCTCTACTCTCCAACCTCACACATCCTCTCTCTCAGATCTTACAGCGTACTTCAGGGCAAACAGAAACCATTAATGAGACTGACCTCCACCTTCTACCAAACAGCGTAGAAACCTACCTACCTCTGCACCCATACTTCTTTCTCTCCCTATTAGAAGAGAAGGGGGCAACTATCCAATGCCCATTCCATCTAAACATACAATCTGGACTTCTCCTAAGACTCCAACCCATTCTTCTCAGCATGCTTAAGTCTTTACATCTGTCAAAAGAGCCCTTCCTTGGAGCTCCTGGGTGGCTCAGTCGTTAAGCGTCTGCCTTCGGCTCAGATCATGATCCTGGAGTCCTGGGATTGAGCCCCCGAGTTGGGCTCCCTGCTCAGCAGGAGGCCTGCTTCTCTCTCTCCAGCCCTGCTTGTGTTCCCTCTCTCCCTGTCTCTCTCCATCAAATAAATAAATATCTTAAAAAAAAAAAGCCCTTCCTTGACTCCCCATCTTCAACTGATCTCACCCTCGATTTTCCCTATCAAAGCCAAACTTCTCTAAGAAGCTGAGTCACATTCACTGCACCCACTGCGTCTCCTATAACCCAACAGCACCTTCTGCTTCACTGTGTTACAAAGCTGGTCTGGCCAACGTGAGCAACAAGCACCATGTCAATAAACCCAACAAATGCTCCCCAGTTCCTGCGTAATTCGATTTTATATCTGACACTACTGCTCACTCACTTCTTGAAACTCTCCCCTGGGTTCCCATTTTCCTTATATTTCTATGGCTGAATCTCCTTGGTCTACTTAGCGAGCTCAACCATATTTAACGGATCCTTAAATGATGGAGTTTCTAGGACTCTGTCCTGCCCCATCCATTCTCCTCTTTCCACTGCCCCAAGAGGTAATCTCACTCAGTTGTAGGGCTTCGTTACCACCTTTGTGCTAACAACTTTCAAATTTACATTATCTCATCCCAGATCTCCTGAGCTTCAGGCTCATAATCCAGCCTTCCATCCAACATCTTAGATTAGATCTCTCAAAGGCTCCGATAAGACATTATGTCAAAACTGAACATAAGATTCCTACCCCTCCAGGGATGCCTGGGTAGCTCCACTGGCTGAGCGTTCGACTTTTGATCTCATCAGCTCAGGTCGTGATCTCAGGGTTGTTGAGTTCAAGCGCCCTGTTTTGTTCCATGCTGGGCATTAAAAAAAAAAAAAAAAAAAAAGATCCCTGCCTCTCTAAGTTGCTCCTTTCCTAGTTACCCCCGCACTGACCTACGAGCTAGAAATCTGGGAGGCATCCCTGACACTTCCAACTCTTTCACCCCTAAAAATCTCATTATCAAATCTTACCCATAAAACCTCCTAAATATCTAATACCCACCCTAACCCAAGAGACAGTAATTTCTAGCCTCAATTACCGAAGTAACCTAACTACTCTATCTGTACCTACTCTTCCTCTTCTCCATCCATTCACCATTTTCCAATCAAAACTTTCAAAATAGGAGCGCCTGGGTGGCTCAGTGGGTTAAAGCCTCTGCCTTCGGCTCGGGTCATGATCCCAGAGTGCTGGGATCGAGCCCCGCATCGGGCTCTCTGCTCCGCAGGGAGCCTGCTTCCTCCCGTGTCTCTCTCTCTCTGCCTGCCTCTCTGCCTACCTGTGATCTCTGTCTGTTAAATAAATAAATAAAATCTTTAAAAAAAAAAACTTTCAAAATATACAATACGGTAATATCACTTCGCTACACATTTACGCTTGACTAAGATATTTAAAATAAGGGGGGAAAAATAATCTCTCCTTGGCTTCCCACACCCAAATCCCAAACATGACCGCCGAGGCCGACCACAACCTGGGCCTTCTCACTTTCCAAATCTCACTTTGAGTCCTGCCTTGTTTTAGCAAGAGGCACTCACTATATTGCAGCAGTCTCAATTCTTGCTAAATACATGTGTAAACTCAGTTCCATTCTAATTCTAAAGTGATGAGGGAAGGAAGGTGAGGCGTGAAACTTAGCAAAATCATCTTAAATGTAATCTGGGGAAATAAGCGAGTAAACGTAACCAGGAACCCTCTGAAAACAGTTAACAAGTTATTTGTAAAGATATTATCAAACCTTAAGAATGCATGAAATAATTAAGTTCAAATGACTACAACAGGGAGTTGTCTAAAAGAAGACACACATACCCACGAAACTTTAGTATATGATAAAGAAGGCATTTAAAATCAGCAAGGAGGGGCGCGTGGGTGGCTCAGTGGGTTAATAAGCCTCTGCCTTGGGCTCAGGTCCTGATCTCAGGGTCCTGGGATCGAGTCCCGCATTGGGCTCTCTGCTCGGCAGGGAGCCTGCTTCCTCCTCTCTCTCTGCCTACTTGTGATCTTTCTCTGTCAAATAAATAAAATCTTAAAAAAAAAAAAAAATCAGCAAGGATGGGGCACCTGGGTGGCTCAGTGGGTTGAGCTTCCAACTGCTGATTTCAACTGGAGTCGTGAGATTGGGGTCATGAGATCGAGCCTCATGTCAGGCTCCATGCTTAGCAAAGAGTCTGCTTGTGCCTTTCCCTCTTCTCCGTTCCCCACTCACTCTCTCTCTCAAATAAATAAATAAAATCTAAGAAGAAATTATAGTAAAAAAATAATAAACCAAATCAGCATGGAAAAATTACCCAATAAGTGGGCATGGACAACTGTCTACCCCTGCACATGTCCAATATATATGTGGCCATTTGGATTTAATTAAAATTAAGTACAATTAGGGGTGCCTGGCTGGCTCAGTCAGAAGAGCATAAGACACTTTATCTCAGAGTCGTGAGTTCGAGCCCCAACTTGGGTATAAAGATTACTTAAATAAAACACTTCAAAAATATTTTAAAATAAAATTAAGCACAATTAAAAAGTCAGCTCCTGGGGCGCCTGGGTGGCTCAGTGGGTTAAAGCCTCTGCCTTCAGCTCAGGTCATGATCCCAGGGTCCTGGAGATCGAGGCCCACCGGCTCTCTGCTCAGCAGGGAGCCTGCTTCCCCCTCTCTCTCTGCCTGCCTCTCTGCCAACTTGTGATCTCTGTCTGTCAAATAAATAAAATTTGAAAAAAAAAATCTTTAAAAAAAAAAAAAAAAGTCAGCTCCTCAATCACACCAGCCACACTTCAAGTGTTCAACAGCCACTCGTGGCTAAAAGTACGACCATGGACAGCATGGACACAGAACATTTCCATCACTGCAGAATGTTCTACTGGACAACACTGGCATACTCATTTGAAAAATATCAATCCCTACCTTACTCATAACAGAAAAGTAAACTTCAAATAAGTAAGATATTTCAATGTTTTTAAAAACAAAATAAAAATAACACAGAAAGTTAGCAGCAGAAAATACTGGTAAATACTTTTATGACCCTGGAGTAAGGAAGACCTTTCTAAAAATGATATCAAAGCTAAAAAAAAAAAAAAAGAAAGAAAGAAAGAAAGAAAAAGAAATTGGTGGGATGCCTGGGTGCCTCAGTCAGGTAAGTGTCTGCCTTTGGCTCAGGTTGTGATGTCAGAGTTGTGGGACTGAGCTCCCCATGAGGGTCCATCAGGGAGTCTCATCAGGGAGACTGCTTGTCCCTCTACTCCTCCTCCCTGCACTCATACACTCTCTATCTCAAATAAATAAATAAAATCTTAAAAAAAAAATAAAAAGAAACAAGAAAAAAATTGGTAAATTTGACCACCTCAAATTCTATACGGCAAAACACAGAAAAAATGAGGTTGAAAGACAATTGACTGGAAAGTTAAAACATGAAAAGAGTTGCTCCAGACCCGTGATATACCTCTTCAAATGGCTAAGAGACAAATAAATACGCTAACAAAAAGAAAGTACAGTAGAACCAAATTAAAATCAAGGCGTGGAATGGAGTGCCTGGCTGGCTCAGCTGGTAGAGCATAGGACTCTTAATTTCAGGTCGTGAGTTCAAGCCCCACACTGGACAGAGACTACTTAAAAAATAAATGAATAAGGGGCACAAGGGTGGTTCAGTTCGTTAACTATCTGACTCTTGATTTTTGGCTCAGGCCATGATCTCAGGGTTGTGGGACTGAGTCTCAAATCTGACTCTGTGCTCAGCTGGGAGTCTGCTTAAGATTCTCTCTCCCCCTCTCGCTGTCCCTCTCGCAGCACGTGCATGCTTGCTCTCTCTTGCTCCCTTGCAAATAAATTTTAAAAAGCTTAAAAACTCAATAAAGAAATAAAATGGAGTCATAGAACAAATACAAACAGCCAACGGATGTTTGAATATATCCACTTGCAATAAAAGAAATCCCAATAAAAATCAGTGTTTTTTCTCCATCCGTTTGGGAGAAATGAACACTTTTTAATAGTTGGTGACACAGCCTTTTTGGAGAGAAGTTTGGCAACGTGTATTCACATTTTAAATGTACATAAGTTTTATTTTGCTCGTTTTTTGTTTTGTTTTTTAAGTAAACACTATGCCAGTGTGGGGCTTGAACTCATGACTCGATCCCGAGAGCAAGAGTCCACGCTCTATGGACTGAGTCAGCCAGATGTCTCTAAATGTACATTAGTTTTAACATAGCAATCCTTCCTCCAGAAATTACTGCAAGGAGTAAAGAATATGTCTGCAAAAATGTTAAAGATGCTTACTTCAGTGTCATTTACAAAGAATCACCACAAATAACTGAACCAAACATCAGTGGAAATTCATTAAAAATACAGCCACATAATGGAATAATATCTCATTATTAAAATTTGATGTCAATCTGTATAAATTGTTATTTAAGCGCCCAAACTTAGTGACTTAGAATAATGATTCTGCCCCTCCAACAATTCTGGGGGTTGCCTGGGCTTCAGCTACGGAGTCCCCTGAGGGCTGAACTGGGCCCCTCTTTCTCCAGGTAGTCTTTTCATAACACTGAGCATCCTCTTACGGTGATGGCAGTGTTCCAAAAGTACAAGCCTCAAGACACAAGCACTTCTTCAATCTTTGTTTGAATTACATTTGTTGATGTCCCCTTGGTCAAAGCAAGCCATGTGGCCAAGCTCAGCATCACTGGAGAAGGGAATGATTCCCTGGGGGCCATCTGTTTCACAAACTATAAGATGGATATCCCATTCACTCACCACATATTTACCGGACAGCTACTGTGTGCCAGGCACTTTGCCAGAGGCCTGGGAACAATGGTGAAAACGACAGACATGGCTCCTGCCCTTATCTACACACTGCTAGAAGGAAGGGAAGTGGGAAAGCAATGCCAAGTATGTTGAGAATTTCTAAGAAGTTCTGGTTACTATGGAAACTTTTAACAGGGGAAAACAAGTCCAGGCCATCAGGAAAGGTGCCCCCAAGACATAACATTTAAACTAAGACCAAAAGAATGAGCTGGCATTAGCTACATAAAGGGGGAAGAGACTGAGGAAGAAGGCAGGAAAGCATTCCACAGGGAGGAAATAATATAGAAAGAGATCCAAACATATAGTTTAATGCAGTTTGAAAACAGCATGCATATGATTTTACAAAGGTATTCACCAAAATCTTAACCGTAGATTGTTTTTTTTGAATACTCGTTGATGTTTTTGTCTAACATTATGGAAGCACAAATTATTTTTATAATTGGAGAAAACCAAGCAATTATGCTATTTTCATTTTGGACTAATAGCATTTTTTTTTAATTGTGGATGTGAACATTTCCTCCATCTGGTTTCCTCCTTCTCCAAATGTTGCAATCTCTGAAACTACGGCCCAAGTTCAAACTTGATCATTTGGCTTCCTGTGACTAATCCAACATTCAGAACACTACTTACTTCACATCCTGCGGGGCCTATTCTAACTCAGGAGACTGGATCTAGAGGCAGTTCATAAGGCAAAGATTTCGTCCTATCAGATCTGCCTTTGCAAAAAAGTGGCCCATAAAACACAGTGCTAGTTTGCAGGAATAACTCTACTTCCAGGTTCTCCTCCAGCACTGGAACAAATCAGTTTCTTCAGCTGGACACCAACTCAAGGAATTGGCCTGAGCCAGGGTAAAGAACATCACACTGCATCTTTACACCCTAGGAACATACTTCCTGGGAACATACTTCCACTTAGAAAGGCCGGCTGGAAGGAAGATGGACTGAAGGGGCAACAAGAGATTCCCAGCTCCCCTCTCAAGCTTAGGCTGGGACACATGCTAATTGACTAGAACAGAGGGCATAACTGCCCTCCCTGGTCATTTGTCTAAGATTTTATTTTTAAATAATCTCTACATCCAATGTGGGGCTCGAACTCACAACCCTGAGATCAAGAGTCGCAAGCTCTGGGGTACCTGGGTGGCTCAGTGGGTTAAAGCCTCTGCCTTCGGCTCAGGTCATGATCTCAGGGTCCTGGGATCGAACCCCGCATCAGGCTCTCTGCTCAGTGGGGAGCCTGCTTCCCTTCCTCTCTCTCTGCCTGCCTCTCTGCCTACTTGTGATCTCTGTCTGTCAAATAAATAAAATCTTTAAAAAAAAAAAAAAAAAGTCGCAATCTCTGGAGCACCTGGTGGCTCAGCTGGTTAAGCACTGGAATATTGGTTTCAGCTCACGTTGTGATCTTGGGGTCCCAAGATCAAGACCCGCGCTGGACTCTGTGCTGTGTTAAGTCAGCTTGGATTTCTCTCCCTTTCCCTCTGCTCCTCCCCCACAAGGCTTACTCTCTGTCTCTCTCTAAAATAAATAAATCTTTAAAAAAAAAAAAAGTCACAAGCTCTACTAACTGAGCCAGCCAGGCACCCCTGCCCTCTCTGTTTTAATCATTATCTTTTTCTTTTTTTGCCAGGCAGAAAAGGTTAAGTGTGCTTATCCTAAATGTGTCCGTTTGATTACCCTGTAAACCTAGGAATAGTCCTAGAGATGCCAGGGAGCAATTAGGAAATTCTCTATTACCTAGTTTGGGCCTCAAAAAGTTTATGCTCTTGGGGCAGAAAAGATTTTTAAAAAGAAATATTCAATAACATAAAAGGCATGTAAAAGTGTAACATACTAACTTGTAAACTGGTCTCATCACAGGTCATGAACATACCTATTGTAGGGATGGTAGTCACAATCTCTCCCAGTTTCAATTTATACAAGATGGTAGTTTTTCCGGCTGCATCCAAACCCACCATAAGAATCCGCATCTCTTTTTTCCCAAATAAACTTTTAAACAGTTTTTCAAAAACATTCCCCATTGTGACTGAATTCCGTTACCTAAATGAAAAGAAAGGCAAGTCAAGTAATTGTTCTTTGCAGAGATAAAAAAACACCATACATAAAATACAAGTCTCTATTAGAGGTGACTTCTAGCAAAAATTTAAACAATTTTAAGTATAATTTGGCCAAGAAAGAGTAGTATGTTTTGTTTTCAAAGGGAAATTCAACTAAGTCTTTTGATGCCTTGCCAGAAAATTCTCTTTTCCACTGCAGCATCCAAGTGGGGTAAGTGGAAACACAGTCTCAATGCTACCTCTATGGCAGCAGGCTTTGGTCAGCCTATAGTAATGCCAAAACAAATACATCTGAACTCTCTTGAAATGAGAACTAATGAAGCAGAGAACCAGTTTATTTTACAGGATGTAAAGCCAAGTCCTTAAGATACGTTAAATATCAGGATCTTTTAGAAATGTAGTAGTTGCCTTTGGCTAACAAACAGTTTCAACACCCAGAAAAGAACCTAAGACAATTTCAGAGGGGAGAAATATAGCACTGGGACACCACATAGGCAAACAGAGAAACTGACTGGCAAACATCCCCCGTTGACCATCACCTGACTCTCAACCACTTTAACTTTTTATTGAAATGTAATTTACATAAGACAAAAACACACTTGATAACCAAACAGTTCAATGAAATGTCATAAACCAATCAAAATAAGATTACCAGCGACCAGGATCTCCTTGTCTCCCATCCCAGTCATTACCTCCCAAAAGGTAATCACTATATTGACTTCTAACAGCATAAGCGTTCAATATTTTATTTTTTAGAAGAATGCATGATAGATTCTATAAAGGCAATAGTAAAGACAGACTAGCTTTGCAGAAATTTATTCTACAGTCTTTTAACACATCAGCCTATTTGAAGTGTGAGCCTGACATTTTAAAGACTTGAAAGTAGTCCTGTGTCTGCACCTCTAACTAAGCTCCTGAAAGTCTACAAAGATTCTTCAAAGATAAGAAAAAAGCCCTTGCTTCAAAAACTATGATTTTCCTTTTAAACTGCTAACCACGGGCGCCTGGGTAGCTCAGTCCGTTAGTTGCCAGACTCTTGATTTCTGCTCAGGTCATGATCTCAGGGTGGTGAGATCCAGCCTGTCATAGGGATCTCGGCTGGGCACGGAACCTGCTTAAGATTCTCTCTCTCTCCCTCTGCATCTGCCCCCCCCCTCCCCAATAAATAAATAAAATAAATTGCTAACCAAAGAAAAACTTTACTCTCTGGCAGAACAGAGGCAAAAATGCAACAAGGACAGCCAGTCTCCGATTCGTCTGGACCCTAGTGATCTCAAAGGGGAAGTCACCAAATTCCAGAGCGCCCACGTCTGAAACTCAACGCTTTCCCACGGTAGCTTAACAAGGATGATGTCCAAGCATACACCATTCCATTCTACGACCAGAGAAGAGAAGCAGGGCATTGGGACGCCTGGGTGGCTCAGCCGTTGGGCGTCTGCCTTCTGCTTCCGTCATGATCCCAGGGTCCTGGGATGGAGCCCCGCATCGGGCTCCCTGCTTGGCGGGAAGCTTGCTTCTCCCTCTCCCACTCCCTCTGCCTGTGTTCCCTCTCCCACTCCGTCTCTCTCTGTCAAATAAATAAATAAATTCTTAAAAAAAAAAAAAAAAAGGCAGGGTACTTAGCCCGTCTAAAAATGAAGTAAAAGTGAACTGCTATAACCAAAGAATGATGAGTGCTCTAACCATTCATAGTAGGTCTGTATGTAAAGCATATACACGTCCAGGGCACTGCAGCAATCAAAATCTTGTTGGGCGACAAAACGAGAGATGCCTTGTCTTTGGTTCCAAAAAAAGACAAATCGCATAGATGAGAAAAACTAAAAGGATGTCAAGGGTGAAGGGGGGAGGTACTCCCTAATTAGATGTCCTTTGAGGCTCATACTCGCGCTCGATTCCCCCTCCCAACTACACACGGTACACCACCTAGGTTTTTCCCTCCTGCTTCTCTTTCCCTCTTCTTCCCACTCATCTGCCAGAGGCGCCCAAATCCCACTGAGCCTCTGAAGACCCTCTGGGGAAAAACGTCCCAGACCCCGGCGCCTCTTCGACCCGCTCACCCTTCCCTGCCACAAGCACCAACTATCCATCAGGGAGGAACGGCGGCGAGACCCCCAGGGCACTAACGGGAGCGGGTGGCCAAGAGGACGTGCGCGGCGGACAGGCACGCGCACCGGGTCCTCGGGAAGAGCCTCGAATGCCTTTTCTGCCCACCCGCCAAGCCGCTCCGCCTCGAGATGCCGGTCCTCGGGAGAGCGGAGGATCACGGGTGGACGCGCCAAGCTTTCCTCGGGTCCCCACAACGCCGGCCCTACAGAAGGTGGAGAAGCACCAGGGAGCCCAACCCCTTCAGCAGGCCAACCGCTACTCTCTGGTTTCCCGCCCGCTGATGGTGCGGAAATCCAGCCAAGCCTTAAGTGCTACCGCTTCTTCTCCGCAGCCCGCTACTCACCTGCAACCGCACTGAGCACGATTAACCACACCACTGCCTTTCGGATTTCGGCTCCCTCTTCAAAATGGCGACTGGCGCGGGGGCGGGAACCTCAACCAACCAATCATCCTCCGCCTCTTGGAGCTTTCGTACCAATGAGCTCGAAGTTCCATGAGTGACGACATGTCTGACCAATGCAAAGGACAATAAGAGCCTGGTCGGGAGGAGGCCCGCCCCTCGCGGCCTAGGCGACGGCACGAAGCTCTGAAAATGCCGGGTTCATCTTCCAATGACAGCTCCCGGCGTCCGGGCGAGACACTCCCACACGCCCCGCCCCAATGCCTCACATGACCAATCAAAAAAGTCAAAGGAGTTCCGATTTACTCCGCCAATCAACTTGGAAAGATCCCTAGGATTGAACTAACCCGGGGAGCTTTTGAACCAACCGGGTGGGGGCATGTGGGCGGGGCCGAGTTCCTAGTGATATTTAAGGAAATTTGCCGCGGTTGAGCTAAAAGTAGAAACCAGATTGGGGCGGTGTCCTGTATGGGAAATACCCAGATATTAACACAGAAGTTAGGCTTAAGGAAAGTTTCCTACTTAGTCGGAAGCTAGATTGCAGCCCTGCCTCTATACAAATTGTCAATAGTTGAGTAAGATACTAGCCACCTGCACTGTTCGGATGTCACAGTATCCCAGCCAGCCCTCTCGATGACTCAGACCCCTCAAACGCCAACTTGGTTAGCTAAAAAGGTAACCAACTCTGTAAATGGTATCTGAGATAATCAGAAAACGAACACCTGTTAAACACATACAATGTGCCATGAACTATGTCAAGGACTTTACCTGCATGACCATAATGCCTTGTGAGTTAGAAACTGTCATTTCCATTTTACAAAGAGGAAAACTAAGTAGCCGAACAGAGATAAAAGCTTAGGTTTTGATCCCTTTACAGGATACTTTCTGTCCTGGTCGCAGTAATTGTGTATATGACAGTAAATATATGAGAGGTTTTTCTATGTGACTCCTTAAAAATTTTTTTTCTGACTGCAAAAAATTATACAAAGTCACTTTTTATAAAAGATTTTATTTATTTACTTGAGAGAGAAAGAGAGAGAACAAGCAGGGGGAGCTGCAGAGGGAAAGGGAGAAGCAGGCTCCCTGCTGAGCAGGGAGTCAGACTTGGGACTCTATCCCAGGACCCCAGGATCATGACCTGAGCTGAAGGCAACACCCAAGGGACTGAGCCACCCCGGTGCCCCTACAAAGCCACTTTTTAAAATACATGAAAAATGACGTTCCTCACCAGAATGGACACAAAGGAGGGGGGAAGAGGAAAAAAAAATTACCCATCATTCTATCATCTAAGGGCAATTTTGGATTATTTCTTTTCAGTCATTTTTCCTTGCAACTTTTCTACATAGTTCAGATTATGAATACATAAAATTTGGGGTTTTTTTCCAGTTAACATTTTAATTTGAGCATTTTCCACATTACTTAACATTTAAACATTTTTGAAAGCTGTGTAATATTCCCATATGGATATACCCTGATTTATTTAATCATTTTCATGGAATTCAACATTTAGATTGTTTTGAAGTTTTTCTATATGAATAATGTTGCAGTGAACTTTTTCCCCAGCATTCCTGTCTGCTTTTTTCTTAGGAAAAACCCCAAAAATGAAATCACTAGGTTAAAACATGAAGATGTTTAAGGCTCTTGATAACATATTAAGCCCCCAAATCGTTTTCTGACTATGCAAATGTACATTCCCATCCTAAAATGTAAATTTTCCCATTCGCTTGGCAATGTACATTTGTACATTTCCCATTGCCAAGTAAAAACAGTGCTTACTTCATCATTTGGTAAGCTCTTTTTAATGTGTTTTGTTTGCTAGTTTGATAACCAAAAGAAAAAAAAAGTATCTCATGTTGGTTTCATTCTCATCTCTTTGATTAGTTGTTTTTCCCCAAATGTTTACTAGTATTTTTATTTCATCTACTACAAATGGTCTATTCATGTACTTCTGCTGATTCCCAAGTCAGAGATGCAAAACTGTTTTGCCAGTAATTATGAAGACTGCTTAAATGGATTCATCATAACCTGAAAAAAGGGTAAAATAGCAAAGAAAAGGTTTTTCCTACCACTGTTTGTACCCTACAAAAGGAATGTTGGAGCTGATAATAACGGGACTTTATCCCTCCACCTCAATGACCTGAGAATATGCATTATTTTCCCAAGATCTGCATCTTGATGCCTATGAATAAATTCATGATGCCTATGAATAAAATAAAGTCCCTGATCACATGGCACTCAATAGTTCAAGGATTATGACCATGTATAGATACACATATTCACACAAAGAGATGTTTATATGTATACACACAAATTTATGTTTTATATGTTTATATGCATGTTTTATACATACATATGTTTCCTATGTATATGTTTTTTAAGATATTATTTTTTTAAGTATTTCCCACACTGAACAAGGGGCTCGAACTCATGACCCCAAGATCAAGAGTCCCATGTTCTTCCAACTGAGCCAGCCAGGCACCCACCATATATTTTTTATAATAATATGCATGGGAATGTATGGGAGAGGGGCTAGAAGAAAACAGGTCTAACTTACTAATGATTGTATTCAGGAGACAGAGCTGTGATTTTTTTCTTTAAGTGATTGAGAGAAAATACTAATTTCATAATGTAAAACTCGACCTTTTTTTTTTTAATACAAAACCCACAATTAGGAAGAAGTTTTAATTGAAATCATGGTAACTGTTCGGGGAAGGTTTATTAAGCTCAATTGTGGTGACTCAATAAATGAATTGCTTATGGTGATGTTGTCTGAGTAGAGTTTTTTCCTTAATAGAAAACACCTCTTGGGGGGCCTGAGTGGCTGTCGGCTAGGCGTCCAACTCTTGGTTTCAGCTTAGGTCATGATCTCAGGGTCATGAGTTGGAATCCTGTGTCTCGGGCTTCTCACTCAGCAGGGAGTCTGCTGGGGATTCTCTCTCTCTCCTTTTGACCTTCCCCACCCCCATGCAGGCATACATGCTCTCTCTCTCAAATAAATAAATAAATCTTAAAAGAAAAAAGGAAACATCTCTTGTCGATATAATGTTATTTGTACAGCATGACAAGTAGAAATTGCTCCTGGGAGAAACAGGATCATTTCACCCTGAGAAAGATCTTATTTGGAGATAGCTTTCCTTCTCTGAGTTAGACTTTAAAATCAGCTCATAGTGTTACTAGTATTATAGTACTATTGATAGTAGTAGTTAGTATCCATGTAACTGCTGCATCAGGTAGTGAATGTGTTAGGTACTCCATGATAATTATCTCATTCTTATATGTGTCCAAATGTCACACAGTATACCCACACCATTCTCCCCCAAGTATCACTAAACTTATCCCTTTATTCTTTTTTTTATAACTTAAGTAATCTCTATGTCCAACATGGGGCTCGAACTGATGACCCCAAGATCAAGACTTGCATGACCTACTGACTGAACCAGCCAGGAACCGGTTTATCCCTCTATTCTGGTCACACTTCTGCTCAAGAGATGTCTTCTTCTCTTGGAAAGCCCTACTTCATATGTTCCTTGTTCTAGAAACCACCCTGCAGAAACCATATACACACCTTCACTTTTTCTCGAAAGCCCTCCTGAGAGCCATCACAGATAGCCAGTATTGTCATGACCAGTGAGCTGTGGTTTACTGACCTCTAGTGTCTTAAGAATCCAGGCAACTTGACACTTCCCAGGAGACTCTGACTTCCTTTTCGCAAGATGCATAAAAGCTCATCAGACCAATATCTGAATAATCCCTTTCCAAAGACCGGCAAGCAGCTCTCTGGCTCTACAATGTTAATATCCAGGGTTAGGCAGCCTGGCAAGCACTTTGGGGCTCTCACTAGAGGATGATCTGGTTTCCATAGCAACATTCATTCCTTTCCACGGAGGATTCTATCATCTCTCCTGCCCACTCAGACTTTCCAGAATGAATTGATTTTTGTGACTATAGGTGTTTGTCCTTGATATTCCAAAGAGAAAAGACATATTCATCAAAACAAAAAACACAAAAACACCACCAAAAAAAACCCCAAACAAACAAACAAAAAAAAAACAAAAAACCCGACTGCAGCTGAAATGCCGCATTGCACCAGCCTGTCTTCCTTTCTTTAAAAATTCCATACCCTTTCTCCATTTTGCTCTCTTCCCTAGCCTTATTCATCGTGTTGGGAAATAGGTTTCTCCAACAGAAAACAAACAGATGGTGACTCCATTTTCCTAAAACTGGTTACCATGGGGCTATAAAATGAAGTTTTCAGCGAGTCTCCCTTAAGCCTGGGCTTAGGGCATGGGTGGCTGACCTGTGGGTTATGATTGGAGGGGCAAGAGTAAGGATCATTATCCACATAAAGCTCCCTAGAAAGAGGTCACAACCTCTGAAATTCCACCAGTAGCAATTTGTTTGTTTAGGTTAGGCATTGCCGTCCCCAGCAGTATTCTCTTAAATTGCATATACTTCTGGGAAGAATAATATATGAGGTTGCTAATGCATAAAGAACTTGGGAAAAAGAGGAAGCGGTGCAGAGAGAAGGGTGTTAAAGTAGCTCTGGGGACCACTTTTATCTGCTTCACAATGACATCTTCTACAAGAGGGGCGGTGCAGGTCCTTGTCACTTACATACACAGAGCCACTGGAGGATGTTCTCCGACGTTTACAATGCAGTGGCGAATTCACTACATAGCACTGTTCCCTGAAACACCTGCATGCAGTCTTGCTGGAAGATGTTTGAAACCCACACTGTGAAGTGACTAAAACACATCTCTGTTCCCAGCACCATTTATTTAACCCTCGAGTTTCCGCAGACAAAAGGTAGTTTTCCTCTGGGCAATGTGACAAGAACCAAAAAGCTTCATTGCTTTGTTGAATAAACTAGATGACATGGATTCAGCTTATTTCTACTTAGGTTACTATTGCCTTCACTCTTCAAAACACGGAATAAATTTTTCCTGCAGTTAAATTCTTACAACTGTTACAACCAAAATGCTGGAAAGTTACTAAGCCCCATTCCAATGGCGCTCTTACTAAGTGATGTTTAATGGGCCATAATTTGAA